AAATTATATATATATACAAAAAAAATAGTGCTAATACATTATAGATTTTTTTTATTCCAGTATGAACTACTTATAAGTTATAACCCGAGTAGCAATTTCCATTTTCCATGCGGTAAATGTGTTGAATTTATTTAGTTGATGGTGCAAGTATTCTTCACTGAACTGTGTTTTTGACCATTTTGAATACTGATTTGTTACAAGAGTTATACCATTATCACTTTGATCTAAGGTCAATTAAACACTGTGTATCTGAGAAAAATTACACCTTTAATTTATAGTATCGATGATGCACAACAACTGCTATAGTGGGTGTAATAACTGTGCAAGAAAACAGTCATAGGCGTGCGCAGACTTAAATTTCTGTTCGAGCCTAGACAATTATTACAGTGCCCTAATATTTGGACAACATTTACAATTGACAAAACATCAACAATTACAATTTTCTTATTAAGACTCACAGAGGTAAGAACTACAAATAACTAATTTTTTATTTTTTATTTTTATGTTTTGGTAAAAAAGTTAAAAAAATATTGAAGATTGCCATTTTGTAGAGTTCATTTTTCTGAAAATATTGACGTTTCAACATTTTAATTTCATTAATTTCCTGATTTTTAATAATTTTTTTAATTAATAAGTAAAACGGTAAAAAACCGGTTTTTGTCCGGGCGACGAGTCCCCCTCTACGGCTAATAGGTATATCCTCACGGGACACCCTGTATTGTCAACACATCTACTAGTGACCAATATATATCTTATGAAAATACAATACAGTCTACTGCAGAAGATTATTTCAGGACTAATTTTTTTTATAACATCTCGGATGTAGTTAATAGTTATTACAAATTTTAAAAAACGATTTTCACCAAAAAGTCTAGAGATGGCTTCATCCATAGATCATTTTTTCAACCTGAATTTTAATGATGGTCTTCATTTCATTAAGTATTAACCATTATCATGTAAATACTAAAATACCTAATTTATATTACAATATTGATTCTTAAATGACAATATAATTATTAATATATTATTTTATATTTTTATTTAGTCTTTAATGGATGTGTCCAAAGAATGTCTGAATTCAGAAATGCCAGTGCTAAAAAATGTTGTAGTTCAAAATATCAGTTCTGATTTGAATATTAATATAACAGATGTTATAAGAGTTTTGTCAGAAAACCACATTCCCTAATTTTAAAAAACTATTTACAATAGCATTAACAATAGGTACCAACATAGGCGTGCGCAGGAATTTTTCACAGGGTGTGCAGAATTATTCTAGTAGGGGTTACTTGGCCTACTGCAATTCAGTAAGATAAATACTGTCTCAATATAATAATTAATTTTAATTTTAAAATAAAATGATTATTAGTTCACATATTATAGTCATATTACATATTATTATACAACTAGCATTTACATTTATATTTTAGAATGGTAATCTTCTTTGTATTGGTGTTAGTGTTTTAAACTCATCAATAATTTCAACAAAAATTCAACAATGTATTTTGTTTTTTTGAAGCCATATCAATTATAATATAATTTCAAATATTACGATTTAAGAATTAAGATTCAGACATTCAGTATATTAATCACAGCACAGAATAAAATTGACATGTCTATGATATTAATCGTTATTATTTTATTAATTGAAAACCAGATAACTGAAAAGTGATAAACACAAAAAATTGGAGTGAAAAACTATCAATCAAAAATTCTAGTACCAAAATTCGTAGTTAAATCTTTGACCACGGTCATGAACATAATACCAAATAATACTACAATCGATATTAGGTATTGCGTTATTACCTCGATGAACGGATTATTATTTGTGTAATTGACAATTGTTTATTATACATAATAATGTTATATATTATATATAATATGATACAGACATAGGCGGACATTTGGTTGAATTTTTAGGGGGGCTATAATAATCCAATGTAAAGTGACCCGCAGGGGCTTCACCCCCGCACCCCCTTCCCATGCACAAATGTAATATATTACTAATACAAATATGAATATTGTAATAAAAATTAAGAACACTTAATAGTTAATATTTTATTTTATTTTAATAACAAATACCTATTTATATCAGCAAATATATTCAAAATATCATTGCTATTTATATTTTTGGACATATCTTTTTCAATATATAGAATAGAAAGATCGCTGAACCTATCCTGAAGCATGGATGTCCTTAGCCAAGTTTTTATTTTTCTCATTGCACTGAAACTTCTTTCGCAAGTAGCCGAACTGATGGGTATTGTTAATGCTATGGTAAATAGTTTTTGCAAATAGGGAATATGGTTTTGTTTTCTGACAAAACTCATATAACATCTTCTATATTAAAATAACGTCACAACAACAACGGTTGTGATCCCGCGAGCCGACGCTCGACATATCGATAAGAAGTGATAACACGTCGTCTATCGAATATGCTCGTGCCCGCATGGTAAATTGAATCGGTCATTTCGAAAAGGCCATTCCCCCACACATTTTCAAAACTAGTTTTATGTGATAGATGTGTTAAACTAATAATAATGCATAACAAAACGATAGCATAATTATGAAAACAACGAATGACATTTCAAATTAAGTTTCGATTTTTGGGGGCTATTAAAATATTTAGGAGGGCTAAGCCCCCCTAAGCCCCCCCCCCGATGTCCGCCTATGGATACAGAATAAATTATATCAACTCTCAATAATCAGTTTTAAATAATTAAACAATGTTTCATCAACAATTTAAAGTAGGCACACATTTTTGCAGGGTGTGCAGCTGCACACCCCGTGCGCACGCCTATGAATACCAATCAGTTCAGCTACTTGCGAAAGAAGTTTCAGTGCAATGGGAAAAATAAAAACTTGGCTAAGGACATCGATGCTTCAGGATAGGTTCACTGATCTTTCTTTACTATACATTGAAAAAGATTTGACCAAAAATATTAATAGCAATGATATTTTAAATATCTTTGCTGATAAAAATAGATATTTAGTATTAAATAAAATAAAATAAAATATAAATTATTGTTTAATATACGTTATTTTATATTTTTTTTTTACAACTTAAAATAAATATTTGGTTTAGTAATTTGTTATACTTGTGTGTAGGGGTGCGGGGTCACTTTACAGTGAATTATTATAGCCCCCCTAAAAATTCAACCAAATGTCCGCCTATGCTATAGTCCTATAGTTATTGTATTTATATAAAGGTATAATGTTTTTTTTTAGATTAATAAAATGTATGTAATGGTTAAGTTAGGCAGGTACACACATATATTTTTGATTTTTTTATATTTTCACTACAAACAAAATTTTCATGATCTCCACGAACATATTATTATAATATAAGCATTATAATAAAATAATTAAATATATACGCACATTTTACTATGCCCCTAAGAAGTTTCAGGTCGAGCCTGGGCTTGACTGGCTCGCCTAGCACCTAACCTAACCTAAGCCTATGAAAACAGTACCATAACCGTGGAAACAGACAGTGTTATAAACTTATAACCGTTTAAAAAATAAGTGTTATGACTGTTTTATCATTGTAAATTACCTTTAAATATATTTAATTCATATGACCGTTAAATTACTACACCAAAAAAATTATGATATACATTATTCAATAAATATTCCATATTATATTATTACAAAATAAATGTTAAGTGTCCCTTTTTATTTAGACTTGGTATCACTTTATCTACACATTATATAATATCTGTAATTAATACCTATACATATTACTCTGTTTCTCATTTTACAAAATCCTTGAATATATGAATATTTAAATAAAATTAATAACACTATTACTGTAATATTGATCTATAGTACTTTCTTAAATTTCTTATGCAATTATTACTACATATTGACTACATAAAAAGTATATTCTTCTATATTTAAAGTATCTATGAAAATTTGTTAATGAATTAGGTATAACAAAATAAGTAAATCATTTGAGGAGAAACATCATTTGACGAGTGAATATCCAATTTTGTAAATATTTAAACTTCAAACGCTCATAAAACGTTATTGTTGATTTACGCTCAAGAGAGTAGAGCAATATGAATGAATTTATTTTACAACAATATGTTTTTTTATTATTTTTTTTTTTGTGTATCATTACCTTTTGGGGTAATTAAAGTGCTTTGATATTCTATTTCAGCATATTTTCTAATAGATAAGTGAATCTAGTTAGTAATTGGTATTTTGAGAGGTCAAAAGTATAAAATTCCTATAGCAGTTTTTACAAACTTCGAAAAAAAAAATGTTACGCCGAACCGGTTTTCAACTAAATGTATTACCTATATGTATTTAGTATTTTTGGTGTAACTTAAAAACTTATAGCAATAGATACTTTACATTTTGACGAAATGTTCATACTTCACACAACCATTTACATACAATTTTTAAGCTATTCGATGAAATATTTTGGATTTTGTTCAATATAATTTATAGTCTATAAATAATTTTTCGCTCGATCAAAAAATTTGTAAATGTAAATATAAGGGTTCCACATAAGTTTATAATAGTGTCATTTAAAAACAAAGTTGAGTGTAAATCCACAATAAATTTTTATGATTATCTGAATTTAGAATTTTTACAAAATTCATAAAAATCATGATAATTTAAACATTACTTTTCAGTTAGAAATTCATAACAATTTTTTTTTCCTAGCTAAAATTTGAAAATTTAATAGAAGATACATACAGATCCTCATACATTTTTCTAATAAAAATAATATACAAAATTGTAAAATCAATAAATTCATTGCTCCGCTTTGAATCTAAACAGTTATTACCTAGTGTGTCCGAAGTGAAAAGGAATTGAATTATCAAAGATATATTTATCTGAGAAAAACAAGTCGTGTGACAATAATAAAGATCTCAAATTTAAAAATATGTTATAATTGTTTTTAACTAAAACACATTTTGACACAAGTGCTAAATTATACATATTAATAATACTATTTAAACCTCTTAGGATTGTAATGTATATTAATTTTTTTACCAAGGAAGTACTTTCCCTTCAAAATCATAAAATCCACCATTGTGGGATTCGTTAATATTCTTCAAGAAGTGGCAGATTCCTGTAACAGACTGTTCAACTTCAAGTGGTGCACTTGGACCACCCATTGCAGTTTTAACCCATCCAGGATGAATGCTAACTGCCAATATTCCGTTATTTTTGAGATCAACACTCAACGATTTTGTAGCAACATTTATGGCAGTCTAAAAGTTAAAACCACATATATATAATTATTATTTTATGTATATTAACTAATAAGGGTTACAAAATTATACATTTCTTTTAAACACCAACTATACCTATATAATATGGATTACATGATATAAATTTTTTTATGATCTAAAAATAAATAAGGATGTATAAAAATTAGCAGCAGCATACCGAAAATATTTGGTCAAATGATGCTTAGGCAACATGTAAAAAACTGATGTGTGGGTAAAAATATGTAAAAATATGTAATGTTATGGTGAGTAAACATTCACTAATGTCTAATATTTAGATTAATAAATAAAATATAATAATAAATATATAAATATGCAGATGTGGGATGTAGCATCCACATAGTTGTCTCCATCATACAAGTGCGTAAGCGTAACATAGCAAATTTTAAGCTCAGCAGATCACATTTAGCTCCGCTAGTTTAAAAATTAGAATGAATTTACTTCTTATAAAATTTCAAGGAAAGATTATTATCCATGCAATATCCAATGTCATAGGCTTTTTCTTATATTTTAATTTTGCAGAGAGCTATGAGTATTTCAAGGTTTACAAACAAATTATAAATTTAAAATACTCATAAGTCGCATTAAAATTTGAAATATAATAAAAAGCCTATAGCATTGCTCAGATAATAATCTTACCTTTAAATTTTGAAGTGCTCAGTGTAATACCCTGTGTCCAACTTAATAGCTAATAATATAGATAACAATCAAATATGTGCTAATACAACTTGTTGGTATAAAGAATAAAGAATTAAACAATCATGTTATGAAAGTGTTGACCATGAAATTTAGAAACTAAGCCTTAGGCTTAGGCGAGATGGTAAAGGAACGGGGTTCATTATGATTGATAAGTAATGGGAAAGATTCATTTCTGAAAGGGTATGAAGAAAGATGGAGGTTAATCATTGAGTATGATTTAATCCAGAATTGTGAGTATAGCAAAATTAATAAGACCTCAGAATTACTGTCATGCAAAATTGTCAACATAAAAGTATATTCTAGAATAATAATAAAATACTATATTATGTGTTTTATGTATAGAGTGATATATATTTTATATTATACTTATACGACGCAGTAGATAATTAGGAAAATATCGCAACACGGGATGAACGTGGACTGTAGGTATTTTCGATGAGATTGTGGATGGAGACTGCATTCGTAAGAGCATTGATACGGTATTGATAGGCCGGGGAGCGTGGTCCAGACTATAAATTAGCCCCCAAAACGGCCTGTATTCAGACGTGTTACACCCGAGCTGGAATGAGCACCTCCACGAAAGTCAGGATAATAACTTAACAATTTGGACTTCGAATATTTTTATGGAAGAGAACAGCAATAAATAAATACAATTACAAATTCAACCAAGTCTACAAATTATTTACATCCGCTGTACGTCACTTGTAGGAGTTGGCTTGGAATAATTTTATAAAAGGTCAATTCACTTTAATTTTTAAACTAACGGAGCTAATCGTGATCTGATCAGCATAAATTTGCTATGTTACGCACTTGTAAGATTGAGACAACACATGTGGGTGCCATGTCCTCTTAAGATTAGGATATACCAAACAATACTAGGCAACATAATATTTTGAATCTTAGTAGGCCACTTTTTTTTTTATAGTAGTATAGAATAACAGTCATACATTACCTTGCTTGTTCTATATGGATAAAAACCACCTTGATCATTTTTAGTGATGGAACCCAAAATTGAACTCATATTAACAATTACAGCTTTATATACTCCAGTGGCCGATTTATCTTTTTCTGAAGCCATTTGTAATAATGGTAATAATGCCTAAAAAAAATTGTCCTATAAAAATTTAAACATTTTAATTTGAATAAAAATAATTTATTATTTTACTTGTGTTAACATTATAGGACCAATGGTATTTATTTTGAAATGGTTTAATAAATCTTCAGATTTTACTAAGCCAATCCTAGTAAATTTTGATGATATCCCGGCATTGTTAATTAGGACATTAAGACCTTTGTCTTTGACAATATTTGAAACTTGTGAAGCCAAATTAAAGAATGATCCATGATCAATTAGATCTACAAGCATAAATATATAACATAAAAACAAGTAGGTAATCAATAGATATAAAGAGTTATTTATATCATATTATGACATTTATATAATATCTATTAATTAATTTAAAAAATATAATGGTAGAATTTTGGGATCACTGATCAATCACTTGGTACAAATATCTGATGTCAACTGTAATATCTGCACTATGCACCTATAGGCCTATAAATACATATTTACATAGTAAATATATATAGTTTATAGGAATAGGTCTATGATCTGCCCAGTGGCCACCTACTTAAGTGGCTAAATCTTATGAAGTATGAATTATATTGTTATATGGATGGCCAATTGGGTAGTGGTAAATAGTAACACATTGGAATCGTGTTTACACAGTACATTTTGATGTCTTACACCATTATACAGTGTGTTAGTGTGACAAGTATGTGTAGTCGTGTACTTGTTATGTAAAACCACCATGGATAAATAGTTTGATGTTGTTACAATAATATGTATGGGATCTCGTTAACCTTGGTACTGTACTCCTATTCATACACCGATTGGAATCCATTGTGGTAAACACTTTTGCTCGTTTTGGAAATGACACAAACACTCATTTCCAACTTATTAATATAATATAGAGATGTAAATGAGAACGTAAAATGTAGTTGAGTAAAATGTAACCCTAAAAGAGTCTTGAGTATATGCCAATTATAAGCTAGAATTTAATCCAAATGCTACATTAATGCAAAATTTTTTTGTAAATAGAGGATATAGCTTCACTGTATTATCAGAGACCTTTGACTTCCTCCCGGTTCATATTTCAGCGAGCAACCTTACCTACAACAGACATTCTAATTTATTTAAATTAGCAGCTATATTAAAAAAAAAAAAAATAATTACAAACTAATGGTGCATAAAAACTCATTGATCCCACCACAAGTTTTGTACGGAACAGATATTGAATAATAATATAAATATAAAATGTAGTAAGAAAACTAAGAACTAGTAGGTAATTAAGTATGATACTGTGTTATAACTTATATGTGAGAATATGACATATGTATGATTATTTTGATTCAAAATTCAAATAAATAAATTAATAATATCCAAGCACAATTACCTAAAAGCCAACGATTGTAGGTATGGCTGCATAAAGAATAGTTAAGAAAATTAAATATATATTTAGATTATTTTTTTTTATTATTATTCTGTGAATTTAATAATTAGTAATTTCTGACCGATTGTCTGACAGTAAAAATATGAGTCCATATAGACTTTTTTACCTATTATCAGAGAACACAATACGCGGGTGTGACTATGTACCTACCTACTCATGGCTATTCCACTTACCACCACGATTAAAGATATAATATCTAAGATATGTGCTTACCACTAACAGTCTAATAGATATCAATATTAAATTTACCAATTAGTTGTGATAAGTTAATGAAAAAATCTTCCAACTTAAGATTTACACCTCTGCATATTTTCTCATTTTTATTTTTTTAAAGTCATAAATATATATATATAAAGGAAGCTATAGCCAATAGACCAACCTAGCCAGTATAATATTATCTTTAATTATAGTGGAAATCTTAGTTTACTGTACATTTTCCAAGGCTTAAAATTAAAATATTAAGTGGCCATATTGTAATACTTTAAAGTTCGTGGGCTATTGGGCTGCCATAGTGCCCTCATTGATCTACATTATTAAAAAAATAAATAGGTAAAATATACTATGTAAATAAAATGTTTAATTACTTACCTGCTTCCAGAATATGAAGTTGTGGATTCTTTTTCAATTCCATTAATTCCTGAAAAATTATTTTATTTATTTTATGTGTCTTTTTATGCCTCAATGCAAACTAATAACAAATATTTTGTAACTTTTTTTGAAAAAAGACTAAATAAGAACTTTGTATTAAAAAGTCAAGTACTCAAGTGTATTGTAAATTATAATACCTACTATCTAATACCTGATATTTGATAAAATAAATCTATTGGGGACGGAGTGGCCGAGCAGACTAAGGCTATAGTTGTGACGCGCAACGATGGTGCTTCGATCCCTGCTACGATAGGCATTTTTCTTTGGGCAGTTGACGATATAGCTAATTTTGTGTTATTGACTTAAAAATTAGAGTAAATTGGCGTATTATTAAATTTTAATGTAAAACTGCATAATATCTAATAGGATTGTATTAATAATTAAATTTGAAAATAGTAATATTCTATATAGTTTAAAATCCCTTTAAAATAAAAATAACAATACAAGCCTATGAGATGCCTTATCTAGATAATATTCTTACTAAAAGAGTCGATTCACTCTAATATTAATGCCAACAACACAAAATTAATTCAATAGTCAGCCAAACGAACGTTTTAGGAAGTAGTAGTACGATACTACAATACACGCAGGTCCGGATTGAACCGGCGAGCTACCGAGAAAATCTCGGTGGGCCGGTAGCTAAAACAATGGGCCATTATTATTTTCTGGCAAAAGTAATCTAGTCATCCTAGGTAGAGGAATAATATAAAATGATATAAATATATAATTGAAATTGATGGTTAATAACAATGAATGTCTCAGTTGTATTACCGATTAAATTATTAAATTATTTAATCAGTGGTTAAATATTACTGTATTAGGAATTCCATTCCCAAAAAATATAAACTAAAATTTCCCAGTAAAAGTGAATATATAAAACTGAACAAGTAGATACAGCTCTGATGTAAAAAAGTTGTCACTATCTATGAATATGGGTTAAATTTAAATTCAATAATATAAAATAAATATATATACAAAAAAGAATTCTGAGCATAGAAGGTCTGCCAGTCTATAATACCAATATTATATATGAATTATTATATAATATAATAAAAATTATATCGGGTATAGAAAATTCTAAAAAAATATTTGGGGCCAATTTCAAGTATCTAAGGTTATTTTGAGTAATGCCAAGAAAATAAAATCGATTTTGTCAAAAACTGGATCATTAAAAATACCAAATAACACGAATAATTATTAAAGCATTCATCACTTTTCACAGAGTCTAAAATAATCTGAAGTCTTTTGTACAATAAAATAATAACTAATTTTGATAATTAAGGTAAAATAGGTAATAAAGGTCATGAGAGTAAGATGAAATAGGAGAAATTGGCAAACATTTAGCTCCAAACTTACATTTTTAATTTTTTTAATACTTCTATTAATATATTTGGTAGGTTTATTATGCGCATAGTACCTATAAAGATAAGTGAAAAATAAAATAGATGACTTTTCTGTAGTCTAGTTTACTTTGAATTTTGATTGTAGTATAAATAAAATAAGAAATAAGGTATATATTTTGTCAAATGGTTTAGGGGCCGATAGAAATTTAAAATCCGAAAAGTCTTAATCTGGCGCTGAACACACTTTTGTAAGATCACTAAGACGGAGACAACTGACAAGTCAACAAGTAACTAAGTAGGTATAGGAAGTGTCAAGATTTCAAGTGAGACAACACGTCTTGCATTTTAGAGTCCTCAAGCTTTTTTTTTTCCTTGTTATCGAGGGACGGAGGGGGAACTGCGTTATATTAAGTTAAAACGTAATACTTATTTGCATAGACATACTAATGTATACTAATAAGTAATATTATATGTCTATCCCTCTGTCGTATTAACGTTATTAGACATTTTGTTAGGTAACAGTGAATACAGGAATACATTATGATTACCCATTAGTGCATTGCAAAAACATTAAATGTTAATTATAATTTATAAGCACTAATAATAATTACATATTATAATGCAATAAAAATATAATTATAAAATTGTAGATACTAGATCCGTTGGCCGTGCAGAAAACGGGATAATCGGTAAAAAAGACCAAGGAAAAAAAGACAACCAAAAAAGAACAATTTTTAATTTAAAATATGCCTATTTTTTGATTATCACAAAAAAAAAAAAATATTAATATAAAATTCTTATCTATTAATCTTCGGTAACACTGCAAACCTATAAAAAGCTAATAAGTCAAATTTACATAAACGCTTCGTTCTCATTCTTATAAATATATTTAATAAATCATTTGAGAAAAATTCAAATATAAAATATAATGAAAAATGTTATGTATGAGTCGATTTTCGATATTTTATTTTGAATGTCCAATAATTAGCTCTAAAAATTGTGATATTTTACTTTTTGAATTTTAATTATTGAGTCAAGTAATTAATATAACGAACATTTTATTTTATACAGACACAGATTGGCACCTTTTCTACAATATACATAATAGATGTTTTTACTCTCAACAGCTCAATACATTATATTATTGGAAATACAAAAATTAATTTTCATAGCATTTCCTATACTATTAATATTTGATACCTTTTAATATTTTTTTAATTTTCATTGATAATTAACATATTTTTATTTTTTTTAAATTGTTTTTTTCCGGGATTCAAGCGTGCTCTGCTGAGCGTAAATGTATTTTATGTACTTGTAAGACAGAAACAACACATGTGAGGTGCTGGTGTGACGTCATCCTTAAGGTGTCACGGTGGTATGGTATACCATATTAATATATTATTTGATATTTTGAGTTTTTGATCATAGTTTAATATTTATCCTGTACGATCCTCGCGGTTGGCCCTGGGACATGGGCCACAACTCACAAATGAACAATTTATTAATTTAAATTAAATATTAAAAAAAATGTTTTTTTTTTTATTATTAATGAGATTTTAACAAAAATGTTATAGATTAGAATTGGTCCTGACATTTTTTAAAAACTTTACTAGTTTCTTCCATGTGAATATTTAGTTCCATGATATCGTCAGATAAGCATGATGAATACTGAATTGCATTAGGTAGTGTAATATTTCCTTATTCATCAAACGTTTTCCTTATTGCGAGTTTACAGTTTGTGACCATTCCAAGTTCGGCTACTAGCTACTAAGCTACTGAATATTAGATTTATGTATTAGTTTGTTTTTGTTTCTAATTTGTAAATTTTCATCAGTTCAACATAAAAAGTGAATTTTATATATTATAATATCAATTTTTAATACTTTAAAATACAATAATTTTAAAATGGCTCCCGTCGAACCTTGTAAGTATATAATTACCTTGGCTTTTCCCATATCTCTGCAAGTCGCAAATACGTTCTCCACATTAAACGCTTGATTTGATAATAAATGTTTCACCAGTCCTAGTCCAATTCCTCTATTTGCACCAGTAACTAATACGGAACACATTTTGATTTTTAACTCTATCGAACTATTTACTTCTTATAAAAAAGTTTTTATAGGTAGTTGTACCTTCACTTCAACTAATCAGAATAACCATAGAATTGAAACCATTCCAAACCGTGTTTACAGATAATGGGTTTGGCTTTTTGTTTTTTAAGCCAAACAGTGCACCACAACATTGATGAATCTTGTTTCTTATCAATCTTACATTCTTCCCCATATTTCCGTCGTTTTTATAACTATAATATATGTATATTAATAATTTATTACGCAATCGGCAATCATCGAATTACATAATATTATATTATTTATGTTTTTAGTTTTTACTGAAGTTTACAAATATTTTTCAGCGAAATATCAAAGATCAATGTAATAAAATATTTTATTTTGTTGAAATGTTTTTCGTTCGGTCTTTATCTTCACGTATTTTTCAAAAAAATCAAAATGTTTGTAAAACATTTACATACAGCAATAAAAGATTTTTAAGAAAAATTAGTTTATGTAAATAATTAAATCAATAACTTAAAAGCTTTTATATTGTGTATGGTTACTGATAGTTAATTTATATTTATACTGTTTGTGTTCATATTATACAACTATATAATATATATTAAATAGTATTGTCATATACAATTAACCGATATATATAATCAATAAGACTAATTTTTTCTCATCTTTTAATGAACCTTTAAAGATGAATAATGATGTGGATAGTATATGCATTTGTAGTATCCATACAACATTTTTATGCTCTGCCCATCTATTATATTATATTTTTACTTAAACTGCTTTTAATATATTTTCTTCTTGAACGATTTACAATAATTGATCCAATTTAAGACTATAATAAGATAATTTTAATCTATTTTATTTTATTTGCATCCCATGAACGACTACGACTAATCATTGACTCATTTTAATGATTACTTTGATAAACCACAAATAAAATAAGTTTTATAGTAAACCGTATATAATATGATAGCTTGCCCTATCGTCGGTCTTTTTAAATGTTTATCATATTTATTTTTGTTTTAGGTGGACAGTATGATTTTGATCTTTTAGTTATAGGTGGAGGATCTGGTGGTTTAGCTTGTGCTAAAGAAGCTACAAGTTTTGGAAAACAAGTTGTAGTTTTAGATTTTGTTATTCCGTCAGAAAAAGGTACCACTTGGGGAATAGGTGGTACTTGTGTTAATGTTGGTTGTATACCTAAAAAACTAATGCATCAAGCCTCATTATTAGGCGAATCAATTCAAGTATGCTAAATAATATTATATTTAAAATGTATACTAAACTTAACCCAATTTTTTCTAAATTAGGAAGCTCGGAGCTATGGATGGAACATACCTGATCCAATTTCATTCAATTGGGAATCTTTAGTAGAAGCTGTACAAAATCATATTAAATCAGTTAACTGGGTTACACGTGTACAATTAAGAGACAAGTATTTATATTTTAATTACAATTACAATTATTCTTATTCACTGGCATTTATAACTCTATTAGAGTTTTTGCCGCCAACACTATATCACTCCATTTCTCTCGATATTGAATAATTTCTTCCATTCTTATACTCCCACAACTTTAAAATCCTCTTCTACTATGTCAAGCCATTTCTTTCTTGGTCTGCCTCGAGGTCTCTTCCCTTCTGGTTTCCATTCTATCACTGCCTTGATGGTTTCTTTGCTTTTTCTCGTGATATATCCAAACCACTGTAATCTTTGTCCTTTTATGTGGTTGGTGACTGGTGTTAAGCCCAGTTCTTTTTGTAGTTCCTTATTGAACCTTCTTCTCCACTCATTTGTTCTTGAGTCACGAACTGGTCCACATATCATTCTCCATATCTTGTTTTCGATGTTTTAATTACAATTACAATAATATTTAATATTAAAATATAATTTAAATCTTTAAACATTTTTTACAGAAAAATTGAATATGTCAATGGACATGGTGTGTTCGAAGATGCTCACACAGTTATTGCAAAGATGAAAAATGGAAAAGAACGACGAATAACAGCAAAAGATATTGTAATAGCTGTTGGTGGACGTCCACGCTACCCTGATTTTCCAGGGTGTAAAGAATATTGTATCACTAGTGATGACCTATTTTCAATGCCTACATCACCAGGAAATACTCTGGTTATTGGTGCTGGATGTGAGTCAAATATAATGTTATTATGCTATTAAATAATATAATGTTATTATGCTATTAAATAATATAATGTTATTATGCTATTAAATAATATAATATATTTTTTAAATTAACTTTTTAGATATTGGGTTAGAGTGTGCAGGATTTCTAAAAGGTTTAGGATATGAAGCAACTGTCATGGTTCGATCTATGCTTCTCAGAGGTTTTGACAGGGGTATGGTGGATTTAGTTCAAGCTGAAATGGAACATAAAGGTGTAAATTTTCTTTTTGGAAAAATACCTGTCAAAGTATCAAAGCAGCCAAATGGCAAATTATTAGTAGAATGGAAAGGCGGTAATGAAGTAAGTAGGACTTGAAGTATTTGATACTTGAAACATTTTAGTATTTTTTTTATTTTAGATCGGACAAGGGGAATTTGATACAGTTCTTGTAGCTACAGGACGTAAAGCTTTATCTGAAGAATTAAATCCAACTGCTGCTGGTTTACAAATTCATCCTGAATCGTTCAAATTCGTCACTAATGCTGAACAGACTAATATTCCAAATATATATGCAGTTGGTGATGTATTACACGTAAGTATAATTTATTAAATTAATGTAGAAACATCAAACTTGTTTTTTTTTTTTAATACTTAGTTCACAATACTTATACATTTTAATGCTGATATGTGTTAAAGCCTGTATTTATTTATTTTGGTTTAAAAAAAATAATATATTTATTGTATTATAAAATCAGTTTTTTATTTACAATTTGGAGTTATGCCAATAACGATGTAATCAAAAATGTCAAATTATTTAAACAACTGATTTGTTTTGTTACTATTATGTTCAAACTAAATAATTTGTTTGTTTTCCAATTGTAGGAAAGACCAGAACTAACCCCAGTAGCAATTCAAGCAGGCAAATTATTGGCCGGGCGATTATATAATGGCATTCAAGAACAAATGGATTATGATAATGTTGCTACAACAGTTTTCTCACCTCTTGAGTATGGCTGTGTTGGTCTTACAGAAGAAGAAGCAATTAAAAGATATACTGAGAATAAGATTGAAGTAAGTACCATTAGACCTTTTATTGATGAATAAAACATACTATAACAGTTGTGGTATTGACCATAGGGTGGTTATTAATGTTACGAAACACTGTTGTGTATACAAGTCAATAATTTTAAATCCGGTTTTTTTAAAATATTTTACCGTGCAACGTAGCCAAACTTATAGATCATACAGGTTTATACATAATTTAGCTGAAATACAATTATTATAATTTTTTTTTATTGCACAGTAATAGAGCAATGACTTGATTAAGATAACAATTTATCTGTATACCATCTATTACTTTATTAGTTGTCTATGTCTATAGTTAATAGTATAAAGGGTTATCTGTTTTAATCTTTAAATAATAAGTTTGTGTATTCAGGTATTAATATTCTTGAATTCCGAGGTTTTAATCTATGAAACTTTCATGCTGCATATTTCGACATTTATTTTAATTTTAAAGGCTTATGATTTTTAGTGCATAATTTGGTGTTTTTTTTTCAGACATTTTTGAAATAATTACTATTGTAATATAGAAAAAAACAAATATCACCTATGGTTTTATATATTCTATTGAAATAAATGAATAGGCCTACTTGTAGCCCTAAACGGTTTTCCCAAATATATTTGGGAAATAATATTTTGCTTGTAGATTAAAAACTATATACAAACAAAGATATTTTAATGAAAAATATTTATAGAAGCATTCCATTCTTATGGTAATTATTAACCCATAGTTTAATATTCCCATCTACTTGCATTTGAGTTTTTATTTGGTGGTCATGGTCTATGGATGATAACAAATATCCTTACTGTTATAAGTAACATTAAATTAAAATTGTTCATAAGTGTTTTGTTGTATGTTTTATTTCTGCAGTGTCATTTAAGTCCTTGCAGTCGAGTCCCCATGGGGCTTCGCCCTCTCCATAAAAATTTTAATGTATAAAAATCACTCATTGTCAACATAATAATTATCAACATTTTAATTTACTGTCAAAAAAACTAATTAGTAATAACAATAAAAAATAAGTCAGTAAAATTAACTCAGGTTCCCGAATTTTTTTAAAAATTAACCCCCTCCCCTTTAAAATTGTCTAGGGACGCCTTTCTATCCTTACGATATATTTTTAATCTGTACAGTTTATAATTATATTAATTTTTTAATATTATGTCTTAGGTGTATCATGCATATTATAAGCCAACAGAGTTTTTTATACCCCAGAAAAATGTTAAAAATTGTTATTTAAAAGTAATAACTCTTCTAGAAGCACCACAAAAAGTTTTGGGTATGCATTTTATTGGGCCTCAAGCAGGTGAAGTAATACAAGGATATGCTGCAGCTATAAAGTAACTAAACTTATATTAAGAGGATGTGTTATCTCCGTCTCACAAATTTATGACAAAGCACAGACTGTTTTGCGAAGGATAACTTTACTCCCTCTTTATTTATGGTAGAATTACCAAAATTCAACTACGCATAGGAAAGAACTTAACCTGTGTCGTACTGTTTTCATTTCTTTTATAGCCAATAATTTTAAATAATTTAAGTTCTATGCGTTGTGAAGTCTTCGTAATTCTACTAATACAGATTTTACTTCCTCTAAGACTGCACAACCCATGGAACAATTATTGTCACGTGTAAAACAATTCTTGCTATGTTGCACTTTTGCAAGACGGAAACAACACATACGCAAGTGTAACTTCCTCTTAAAATATGTAAAAAAAATAGTCAATTTTTTTTATTAATTTTTTTTTTTTTTGACAGGGCTGGATTAACCTATCAACATTTAAAGGACACTGTAGGAATTCATCCTACAGTATCTGAAGAATTTACTAGGGTGGCCATCACAAAGCGGTCGGGCGATGATCCTACTCCGCAAAGTTGTTGTAGTTAAACTAATTTCTTTAATATTAATTAAAAATATACAATAATTATTTTAAATATATCAGTTACTCATCAAATTAATTCATGTGGTGTAAAGGTATTAATTATTAATTATAGAATAAATATTTGAATAAGTAAAATAGAAATTAAATGTTTTGCTTCGGAATTAAAAATAAATCATTTTAATAATTGGTTGTTTAATACTTACCTCCATTCTCTAAAATCTTATTTGTATGAAATAGTTAAATAATAAAATGGCAAGGCAATAAACAACAAATATTTGTTAAGACAAATCACATATTTAATTATCAAATAATTAAATATTAGAGGTAATTGATTTATTATACAATTTAAAAGTAAGAATATCTAATGAATCATAGGTTTTTTTTTTATATTTGAGCATTTACAAATTTACAATTTGCTATGTTCTGCGATTGTAAGATGACACAACGCATGCAAATGTAGTGTATTCTCGTTTGTAATTTATATTTATTATTCAATTTGTTAAAACATTGCCTAGGTAACTTTTTATTTTACAAAATTCCCATATTATACAAAAATATTATTAATTATTTTACTAAGATTTAAAAGCTGTATGGGTTGTTGTAAAACTATATCATGAACTATAGGCAGTGATGTAGTCCTAAAAAAGTTTACGGGTTCACGCTTTCATCATTGTAAAAAGATTAAGGGGTTATGCCTAACTTGTTTTCCACGATTTACGTTAATTAACAATTATGGATCGATGACATAGAATTTCGTTGAAACTAAAAAAGAAGTGTTTCTTTATTTTTAACAGCCAATGTTTTTATAATAATTTCAAAATGTTTAAACACGCAGGTGTACTAATAGCAAAATCAACTTTATTTTTTCAAGTGGCAACTACTAAATTTTTTTATGGATTCCAGTAGAGCTTTTTTTCTGAAAATGTTAGTTCAAACATCAATTTTGGTTTGTTAGTTTATTAAGTATGGTCTTCTAAAGTTAAGTAAAACATGCATTAATACTTTTAATTCAATTTTTAAGCTTTTTTACCTAACAAATAAAGTTTTATTGACATTCATGAAAAAAAAGACTAATAAAATTGAAAACTGAAAATGTTCCAAAACAGTTCAAAACATTTTTAAAATATTATCGTGTATAGAAAATTCAAATATAAACAACCAGTGAAAATTGCATGTATATACGTTCATTTATTTTAGAGTTTACACTATTCATTTTCCCTTCGAACCATCTACTGTTGAAGAAAATCGAAGCAGTTTTACTGCCCCAAACAGTGATGACAGACACAAAAAAAATTAAAAAAACACACATCATTGTAAAATCAATCGTTCCACTCAGAATCTAAAAAACATAAACAAAATTGTTGGAAATATTGTTCATTATCTTTATTTTAACATACAATCATCAAAATCAGTATTCTTATTTTAATTTGTATTATAGGTAATCGTAATTAATTACTTCACAGTTACTTTTCTTACAATATCATAAATTTGGATTCTTTATTAGGGTCTTTAACCCCGCATACAATGACATAAGATACACCCTGTATATATATACAGCCTTACAGGCAACAAAAACAATTAGTGTTTATTAATAATAATAGTATGAAATTATTATACACCAATAGTCCATTTATTAAAAATTTATAATTCATAATAATACCTTAATTATATGAAAATCTAACAAAAACAATATTTTTCTTTTATGGAGGGTCCGTGGAAATATTGTTATTACCGTTTAGTATAACTTATACATACTGAAATACCTAAAATTGTAACTAACTTTTCATTTTGGCGATTTTTTGATTTTAATCCATTCGTCAATTTGATTTTTCAATTCGGTATTTGTTATTACCATATCCATAGTCAAATGAGAACGATTAAATGGATCGGTCTGATCACTTAATAAATGTCTAATATAAAAAAAAAAATAAAACTAATAGTTTCAAGTATAAAAAGAAAAATGAATGTACTATATAAATACCTTGCTATAGTAGATCGGTCAACATTCATTTTACTCGAAGGCAAAATTACTGGGTCTACCATAAGAGTAGACATAATAGGATCTAAAAAGTTTTCAGGGGCTTCTGTAAGTAATAACTCTTCATCATTACTTTGTTGTCTTGCTAGTTCTGACACTCTCTGTGCTATTTTATTAATTCCATCAATTAATGATGCTCCTCCAATTCTTGCTGATGACCATAAAAATAAATTATTATTTAAATTCAAAACTTTAAATATATCTCTACTAAATATAAATAAAATTGTTACCTTATGCAAAGTAATAAACTAATAATTTTGTATATTACAATTTTTAAGAGTAATAAATCACTGTAATACAAGGCCTATTCAGTTAACTAATTACTAGAGTTTAGAGCTTAGATGTTGTTCTCTATTTGTCCAATTTATCACTAACTGAAATACAGTGTTTCATATGCAAATTCATAGTTTTATAAATTACAAATACATTTAAATTTAGTTCACTAATATTAATATTATTCAATTAAATGTTTAAGAAAAAATAAAAAATTGGTATAACACATACAAGGGCAGACTGGGAATAAATATTAGCCCCGGTAAACAGAAATTTTGGCCCAATAATAAAATATTTATAAGTTATCGGCCCAATTTTTTACTTTTTATGAGTGTCTTTTTTTCAACATATTTAAACGGCTTCATAATTTATCTGAATTTATGAAATTAACTAATTAAGGATAAATAATGGTAATAGAAAAATAGTTATGGCCCAATGGATTTGATCGCTTTTAATAAAAATTAGATTTTTGCTAGAATGGAATTTTGTTTTACATTACTGTAAATGGAGGAAAGTTAAATTTTTTCTAAGGGTCCATTTCTTATATAACAATAATTTAAGACTAATAATATTAATTATATTTTAAACTTTTATAATACCTAAGACGCCTTCAGCCTGTTTGAAAAGTAATGGATTGTAGGATCGTCCATCTTTGGAAACAGCTAAACAAAATGCTTCACCATTTTTAGTATCCCCCAAATGTACGTATATCATACAAATATTCAAAACTATTTCGGCTGGTTCAAATTTGTATTCCTTCATATCTTTAACCTATATTAAAATGTAAGAGTATATTTTATTTCAATTGTAAATCATTGAATACTTATTAAAGAAAAAATAAATAAGTTACTGGTTTTTTGTTTAATATATATTTTGGTATTTGTTTAAATATTTTAAAAGATGTATACACAAAATTTAAAAAAATATATATTAATGTAGTATGTATTTTATTTTTAAAATTTAAAAAAAATCGGAAAAATTAAACAAATAGCAGTTTTCAAAATTGTTTTTATTTTTTAAATTAGATTTGATTAATCCAAAAGTTTTCCCGTTTTACTATACATTTAAAAGTTACTACTAATAGAAATTATTCAATTAAATGGACCGCATGTATTGTGTCCGCCTTACACACGCAGTCTGAGTAGAACTAGCTCAATTTCGGTTCCCTATTATAAAATTTAATTGTGACATTATTTCTGAGGACAAGACAGTGAGTTTTTCAATTAACATTAATTATAACGTTTTGAAATTGCAAAAATTTCAATATTTTTAAATGGCCTTTAACTTTTTAAAAATATATTTTTTTTTTTAAAACTCACTGTCTTACCCTCCAAAATATTTTTATCTTTTAATTTTATAACAGGTGTTTTTATAACACCAAATTTGAGCGAATTTTACTCAGACTGCGTAAACGTGTTTTGTCTATTTTGTACATGTGTAAGTCGGAGACATCACATGCGGTTGTGATGTCCCCCCCTCAATATAAAAGTGATCATAAAAAAAATTGTTATAAAACAACTATTAGGTTTTACGTCTTGTAAATAAAAAAGTACTAACTTTAAAATTTTTTTTTTTTGGTCCAACTAAATGACATAAGAAGTAGTTTAACATAGCTGCTACTCTATCAACCATTGTGGGATGACAAAATATTGATTTTATTTCTGATGTAAGGTATTTAAATGTATTGATGGTTTCTTTCCCAAGAATATTATCAAATCTGTAAATACAATATTTGTTAAAGAAACACAAAGGTAAGTATGTAAGTTAAAATAAATAGTATTAAAAAAAATTAACAAATTAAAAAAAATTGTGTTTACCTAGCAATCATTCCGATGTGTTGCAAGTGTGACATATTTTGCGCTCTTTCTCTTTCAGATAAATTATTCCATTGGCCTGATTCACTAATATTAGATAGAACATATAAAATAAGCTATACATTTTTAATTATAAACGTAAAAAAAAAGGCTCTTATTTAATAATTTTTGAGTAGTGAATAAATAAATAAAACTAAAAAGAACATCATGTATACAGCATACAGATCACAGATGTAACAGGAAAATCTGACAAATTAAATAACTTTTGTTCTTATCAATACTTAAAATTGTATTTTTATATATATAATTTTACATTATGAGCAAAAATCGATTTTGGTTTTTAGTGTAACTCTAAAACAAATGACCATAGATACGTGAAATGTTGACTGAATGTTTATAACAGCATTTTCTATACACGATAAAATGTTCAAAATATTATGATTTGTTTTAAGCTGTTTAAGAACATTTTTTTAAAATTTTTTTTTCTATAAATATCAATAAAATTCTATTTGTTGGTTAAAAAAGCATGACAATTTAATAGAAGGCTCCTAGTATATTGTTTCGAAGGCAGATGAAATAACTAAAAATTAATAATCACAATTTTTTTAAAATTCAAAATGGCCAATTTGTAAATCTGATTACTAGAAAAACATTCATATAAGTCATACAATTTATTTTTTATAATTTTTTGAAATATCATTATTTTATCCAGCCTTTAACTCATAAAAAATATTTTAAATTGAAAAATTATACTTTATTTTAAATATTTAAAAAAAATGTTTAAATAAGTACATGTAAAAATCTAGATAGTTTTTTAAAAAGTTATTACCTTCCAAATTATTGAACTTCAACAAATTTGTACATTTCATAAAATCATAAA